AGANAGAGAGAGAGAGAGAGAGAGATGAAAGAAGATGATAAAAAAAAAAAGTTGCTGTTAAAGGATGATAATGGAGAATGAACGAATTGTGATGGATGGATAAATGGAATGAATTTGCTCCTCTTTAACCATATGTGTTTTTTCGATGTGAAAATAATGCAATCATAATTTCTTTTCTTTTTCTACCATTACCAATACTATCAATATCATCATTATCATCGTTAAACTATCATCATTATCAATACCATTTCCTACAATTCCCTCACATATCATCATCATCATCATATTAATACTATCATTATTATTGCTACAAAATCAAATGCGAAATTATTACCATTATCAATACCATTCTTATAACCACATATATAACTATCATCATTATCAATATTATCTTCTATAATCTCATATATCATCATGTATCTTTATCATTATATTAATACTATCGTTTATCATCGTTACAATCATATGCGAAATTATTACCATTATTAATACCATTCTTACAATCATGTGCATTATCATGAATCACCATTATCATTACTATCTTAATTATCATTACGACTAAACACCAAATCATCATCATTATCAATACCATCATTATCATCATTACAACTATATATACAATTATCATTACTACTGTTATCATTATTATAACTATATGCAAAATCATTACCATTTTTAATATCATTCTATATAACATTACACATCATTATCAATATCATCATTATTATCATTACAACTACATATAAAATTATCAATACCATCATCATCGTTACAAATACATGAACTATCATTATCATTATCAATATCATGTTTACAATCAAACGTATCATTTTATTATCAATATTATCCTTACAATAATATGCTATATTTATGTTATAAATACTATCCTTACAATAATATGCTTTTATTTTATTTTTTATTTTTTTGCTATATTTTCTTACAATAATATGCACCATTACCATTCATGCAATTATATGTAGCATCATCATCGTCATCATCATCACCATCATCATCATCATCATCATCATCATCAATATAGCACCCTTGTAACCATACATACATATATCATTATCACCATTATCAATACCACAACTTATAATCACATATATATTGTCACTATCATTTTTAATATTATTGAAAAAGAACAAAAGAAATTATCATATTTAGTAAAATAATTTCAATTGAAAATTTTTAAGTTATATTATACTGATATTGATTAAATTGTTTATTTGATCAAATTTATCATAAATCATTAATTGAATAAATTAATTTTAACAATTAAGCAGGATAAAATAGAAAGAAAGCAAAAAATGAATTATGAATAAAGTTTAAAAAAAAAAGAATTCATTTTTATTTTTATTTTTATTTTTTGAAAAAGAAAGAAAGAAAAAAAAAGGAAGAATGAAAAATTTAACAGCAAATAAAATATATTTGATATAAAATTATTTCAAAATTCTTGTTGTCATTCTATATCAATTGTTGAATTTTTTTTTTTTCATTTTCTCTCCCTTTTTTCTTTCTCTCTCTTTTTTCTTTCTCTCCCTTTTTTCTT